CTTTGATCATTTATTGTGTACCTTCTCACACCCCTAGACTGCAGTGCAGTAGTGGCAATCCATTTCAGTGAGGGGAATGTCCACATATATACACACACACACACACACACACACACACACACACACACATATATATATATATATATACATATATATATATATTTTTTTCTTTCGATACACTTAAAATAATACAACCAAGTTAAACACACAATATTAGGAGCAATAGATAACACCATTTTATAAATAGTGTAAAATGTACCTTGAGATCGCCCCCCCAAAAAAATCAGGATTACAGCAGATGATGATCAATAATTTTCAACAAAAACTAATCCATTCTGAAATACTTTTTTTTCTTTACAATTTTGACACAATCGCAAACTAAGTTGTTATGCCGCCATCCTGTGTTCGATAGTGGAATTACACAGAATTAAACACGATTACTTTGTAAATATGGTATGAATAGTATGATAGAATGTCTGACGTCACTCAGTAGAAAAAAGTCCGCAACATGAGGGGTCTCGAAAGATCAGTCCAAATGCTCTAAAATGGCGGACAATCTTGGGAAAATGTTTTTCTTTGATTTAAAGATGTTAAAAAATCATCCCCTGCTTTTGAACAAACACGGTGTTCCGTACCTTATGTTCAAACCTATGAAGTTGGTCCAGGAGAAGATGTAGTCGCCAATGAACACCATTCCAATGTACGTCACCAGGACATTCTGAAAAAGGAGCGGGAGGAGTTCAATTTTGCCATGGCAGTGCAACCTCGAAACAAAGCTCACCTTGTTCGGATTTCAAAAGCTCAATTTCACCTTGGAATTAATAGTAAACTATACAACTTGTTGTAATGTGTGTTTTTTTTTTGAATTGGTCAAAACAACCACGACACTAAACGAATGTATGCTAGCTTATAAATGAATGTGAAACACCACTGACTGACTGAAAAAATTAGCATCTGTGTCACAGTGTTGCAGACTTTTAACAACATATTTGAACACTAAAGACAACGATTTTCAGGTGTCTGATCTGTATACTCCACAAAAAAAAATTAATAATAATAATAAAATTCGGCAGCTTAGTTTGACCATATTATTTTCATCACCAAATTACATGTAGGACGTCTATGTATTATACTGACCCCTGGTGGTCAAAGTGTGCACAGCAGATATGCAAACTGAATTCAATCGTCAGATGGCCGGCCATTCGTCAGTTTGTTAGTCCGTCAGTGAGCTTTCGTCAGTATTCCAGACCCGCCCAGTCGGTCTGAGACGTAGCCAAATAAATAAAAACAGTGTTGTACACCTTTCGGTCCCACAGACCACAATGATTGTTTTTATTTCACCCATCACCACGCTGTGTGTGTGTTGCTTTTATAAGATTTGTGTGACATGGAAAATGGCTGTCGCCGAGGGACTTCCTGGGCCCACGTGGGTCGGTCTTAAATATTGATGGAAACTTAATGACAGACCGACGACGTCACCTCTGGAAATCATGAACATAAACGGTTTAATTTCTGATATTTAGTATTTATATTTAGTATTTTGTTCATTTGTGATTAGCTGTGTCATCGTAATTTGCTGATCCGATCAATGACTTGTAAATTATGACGTTGCGCAGTGTCCATTGTAGTGGGCTGCCACAAATTAATATTGCCCGCCACCGATTTAGATTTAGGCGCCCCCTTAAATATCTAATCACTGCATGATATTACTTTTATTATCCCCCCTTGAGATGGTATCGATTCTGAATGATTTGAGAAGAGAGGTATCGCTTGCACTGCCGCTCACCTTAATGCAGCCCAAGATGGTGGTAGTAAGTGCAGAGTTGTAGTGTGTACAAAACACGATGGAGTACATGAGGACAAACCTGCGCACACACAAAAGATGTGACACTAAATATAGCGCGATAGCCATCAGTCACATTCAGGAAATTCCTGCATGAATGGACAATTATAGCCAGCAGGTGGCAACTTTGGCAATGTTTTGGATGCGTGCCACAACTCTGTGTAAGCTCCTAAAACATGGGCGCACCCTTGGAAGTACGACCGTGACAATCAGCTTGAGCAAAGAGTTGGTCTTTTTAAATCTACAACAAAGAGTGTCGTCAAAAAAGACAAAAGATAAGAGATCGTTTCAATTTAGAGCGACAAGAGATGAAATACGTGTTTATAAACGCACACACGACTAAATACTACTATTAGTATTACTGAAGAGCTTTCAAATAGTTTGTAAAGTTCATCAAATGTAAAATTGTTACACTGGTGACTCATTGTAAATACCTTATCTTGCCATCAAGATAAGGTTGGTATTTTATAGACTGTGGTTGGATGGGGGGCGGGGGGGCAATTGTTTGGTGAGGGCGAACAGTTGCGTGGGCAGCTCGTTGACAACTGAGAAAATATTAAGGACATCGTCCATAACTCGAACTCAAAGTGACTATGATCACCTGAGCGTCTCCCACCAAAAAAACAACAAAAAAAAAAGTAGTTTAACCCCTCGTGGGCACGCACGTCACGTAGCCACCATCTTCTTACCCCATAACGCAGGACAGGAAGAACTGTATGAGGAAGAACACGTCAGACCAGCCGTCGTAATCCATGGCCTGTTCACACACAAACATCCGAACTTTTAAAACGATAGATTGCAGGGACTAGCAACGCGCAGTGACTTCATTAAAAAAAAAAGGTACATAATGGGCAGCTTTGTCTTTCTCACTTAGCGGGGCCTCATATGGGAAAAGCAGCAGAGGCAGCCAGCTTGCCCGTGAACAAGAGAAGCGCTCTCACGAAACATTAACAGGCACACGTACGAGCACGGAACTCTCTTGAAGGAAGTCCGCCTCCTGGCGTTTTCACTGTGGCTTACCTTCTGGATGTCCCCAGTCATGTGAGCCAGCAGTAGAGTGGGTAAGATCATAAATAATGCGTTGTAATACACCAAGCCGTATTTGCCCAGCTCCTGTGGAGCACATAAACATGAGAGGAAACGTAACATTGGGGTTTCGTGCCTCCCACCAAAAAAAAAAAAAAAAAACGGAGACCAAAAACGGTTGAGCTCAGACTGGCACGCGCCATCGCTGTTTCCTAATTGTGTTGACGGCACCCATCGAGTTGCGGTTGGATTTGAAAGTTCGACTTCTAACTTTTTACTTTAAAATGGCTTACTTTAACGAGAATCCTGCATTTTGCCAGATTTTTTTCTCATACATTTTTTTGGGGATCGCTTTTGGTTACATGACTGCCTGATCTTGTCAGTGTCAGTTGTTTTGGGTTTTCTTGTACTAAGTTTTGCGATAGTTGTGTCTGTTTTTGTTCCATTTCTTTTTTTAATGGCTTTTATCAGTAATATTTTTGTTCCATTTTTACGCAAGTCTGAGAGGGCCGTAGTCTACAACTATGCTAATGCAGTCATTAAGTCAAAAGTAGAGAAAATATTTGTATGAAAAACACCCAAGTCGTGAAAGCCAAATGGTCAAATGAAAAACAAAAACCACGCCGAATAAGCGTACGACCTTACGTTATCGAATTTGTAACCTTGCATGTCAAGGCTGTAAACTGATGGTCACAAATGCAGCCACTGTCCAATGAATAGCAAGTATCTGCAAATATGGCGAGTTTGCATTTTTTTTTTATGCCAAAACAACAGGTGGCGTGTTCTTTTTTTTTAATTGAGAAAACAACATACCCAGTTAAAGAATGCAGAGTTATTTGAGGACAGATGAAGGACAGGTCGCCTCCTCTGCTTCCCAAAAGGCGAAAACCACACCCCGCCTCCTCCTCTGCACCCCCACAAACAATGACTGCTATTCACAGGCAGTCACCGCCACATACCTTGGCCTCCAATTTCTGCTTGACGAAAGCACCGTTGGCCGCCGTGAGCACATCATTGAGGAGGATGCAGACGTAGCCTTGCAGGTCAAAGGACATGTCGGCGCTGTGAAACCATAACGAGGTGGACACAATTGTGTTGATGTCTTGGAACGACAGATTTACGAGAACATGTTTTCATAACTAAGGCGGGTTCACTTTGTAATTCATACAGATTCTTATGCACACCGCTAGTAGTACACATACTGGAGAGGAAAGGAATTGACGGTTAGCCGCGCAAGATAGCCGGTTATCAGACTCGGTAGCAAGTCTCTCGTGTTTTTTATTTCGCCAATAAGAGATAACTCTGCTATTTGCAAATGTTCATTTCAAAACATTGTTGTATGAATAATGCAGTTGGAAATAATGAATTCAATTACCTCGCAGCGATGAAGGCCCCAAGTATCATTGCAAAGACCGTCAGCTGGACTGACCTGTTGAATTTCTTCCTGTCAAAATGAGGAATAGATGCCACGATGTGAAACCCAATCTCCAGCCCAAAATTGAGCTCAAATACAAAGTGCTTACTTGAGCAGGAATCCCTCAGCCAACATCGTGAACAAGATGGAGAACCTCCTGAGCACAGTAAACATCGGCAAGCTGGTGCAAACAAGAGTAGTATAGTCAAATAAAAGCATGGATTTGAATTCACTTCCATCCAACCACCGATATCTTACTTGAGCCTTTTGGTTCCATACAGACCACTAATCTGATTGCCCACATATAGGAGAGGTAGGGGAAATGTCTAAAGAAGGAAAAAAAAAAGTGGAGGTGTAATTTAACTACAGATGCAAAAGAAGGCATAAGAACACAATGGACAGGTGGTTTCACCTTCAGAGGTACTTTCTTATCCAAGTCTGGGAAGCTGATCACCCTCGCTGCCTTGGCCACCCACAGGACAACCACCGTCGCCAACATCTGCACACACGCACGCACGTTCGAGGAAAAAACAGCTGCATCTCAGCTACAAGTCAATGACACATGTGTTTAGAAGAAATGGTTGCGAAACTCACTTGCCCAATCCCAACGCATATCGACGAAGGGAACCTGGGAACATGGAGGGGGTGGCCGTGAGTGCAGATAAAATCAGCTAAAAGTGTGTTAAATGTACTCCAAGTTACACCTTGTGAGAGTGGAAGGTGGCCATTTAAACGGCGATATCCAAAGTTGCCTTGAGCTAACCTGGCTAATAACTTAGCTTGAGTTCTCTCGCACCGACTTACCGGTAGTAGGTGAGCACGCTCTTGTTCACCATGACGATGACGAACGAACTGAGCGCGTAAAAGCCGGCGGCTAACAGTTTCAAGAGCACCGTCGGAGGTTTGTCCGCCATCCCCGAGGAGTTGTCATTCCGCACTGTGGACTGTCGGCCTCGGCCGCCCTGCCATTGAGTCGCTGCCTGCTTGGCACGCGTGCACGCAAGCAAGTACGCGAGTACGCAAGTGCGTAACCACGGCTCTTGTGACTTCCGCACTCATTTTACCTGCCTCCTGAAACGTTGACATCAACCACAGTATCCGTACATTATGCATTTAATATCCCAGAAATGTCAAAAGTGGGGTTGCTGAAGGTAACTTTGAGATATAGGGTTTAATAGGGGAAGTATGTCGCGTTTTTAACACGCTTTTACATTGTGACACATGACTTCCGCCCTTACTAAAAAGCAGTCTGGGGGTGGGCGCACACGTGATCTCGGTACCCAATCACAATGTAGGCTTCAATGCTTTGAACGTGAATACAGTACTGTAGACAAACGCGCTGTCGCGGACCAGCTGACCGACGCGTCTACCTGGCGGCCATATTGGAAGTGGGTGGGCGCACACGTGATCTCAGTATCCAATCACAATGTAGGCTTCAAGCCGTTGAACGTGAATACAGTACTGTATAGACAAACGCGCTGTCGCGGACCAGCTGACCGACGCGTCTACCTGGCGGCCATATTGGAAGGGGCGACTTTCCCGTCAAAGTCAACGGATCCATCCATCAATCCATCCATTTTCTAATCCGGTTATTCTCATGAGGGCCCCAGGCATGCTGGAGCCTGTATTTAGAGCACATAGACAAACATTCATACTCATAGTCACACCTAGGCGGGAATTTAGAGTGTTCAATTTAACTCCATGCATGTTTTTGGAATGTGGCACGAAACGGGAGGACCCGGAGAAAACCCAGGCACGGGGAGAACATGCAAACTCCACACAGGAATACTAGGACCTGGGATCGAAGCCGGCACCTCTGCACCATGAGGCCGACCGACATGCTAACTAGTTGACTGACTTTTTCTAAAAATATTAAAACATTTTAGAAATCAGCATCTCTGATTAAAATTTGCTTTTGGGCAGTGTCATTGGATGTTAATTTTTTGACCTGCCTGCTGACCTGACCTTGCACAAAGGCCCGTGTGTATTTTGGCAGGTGTCAGCGGTCTGCCACGTCTGATAAGAAGCGCGTGGCTTTGCGGGCGCCACGTTGTCAGAAGTGAGAGAACCCTTGGTGAACATGTCGGGACTCAATGCCTCCCTGGGCTACTTTGTGGCGTGCGTAGTCTTGGCGGCCACGCTGCAGGCACCGCTGAAAAGGTGGCCGCGGCTTGCCTTCCTATCCGAGTTGTTGTCGTCGTTCATGTTAGTGGCGTGCCGGCTGGAGGTTCAGACCATCGTGGAGGTGGGTGAGTGGGCCGGGGGCTTGGGCCCGGACGTGACGCTGACCATTTTGTTGGCGGTACTACTGGTCCACGGCGCGGTCTGCGGCGACCATTCGGGGAATCCCAGCGTGAGCGCGATAAGGTTCCTTCAGCTGGACACCGCGGCGCTCGCCACCGTCCTGGCCCTCGCTTCCCAATTCCTGGGGGCCCACCTGGCCATGTTGGCGGCGGAGTACTACTGGAGCCTGGAGCTGACCGACATGCACATGATCAAGAACCTGATGGCCAGGGAGTGCAGCACGTCGTTGCTGGTCTCACCCATACAGGGCTTCTTCACCGAGGGAGTGTGCGCGCTCCTCTTTCACCTGGTGCAACTCTTCCTGAGACGGAGGAGCGCACTCGTCCGGGTGCCCGTGGGAGCCATATTACTCACCTTCCTATCACACATAGGTATGCAAATAGGTGTCCTATATTTTAGCGTAGCGATTCTCAAAATGTGGTAGGAGTAGTAGTTGTTTTTTATTAATCAAGTACAGTACATGTTTTGGATTTTTTGCATGTATAGCACATTATTTTAGTTCTAAAGTACAGTAAAAAAAAATTAAGTTCAATTCGATAACAGGAAATGTGCTTTTTATGGCTACAGCTTCAGCCTCTAACCTTTTATGACTGCATTTGGCAATGATGGTGTTAGTTGGAGCGCTAAATATTTTTTGAGGTGAAAGTTTTGGAAATTATTGCTTTAGAAATAAATCTTATTTTTGGTGGGGAGAACGTTTTTTTTTAACTTTCAAAAGGTTTTAGGAGAAAAGTTGGATATTTTTGAAAAATCGAGAAAAAAAATTCTTACTTTTGATTAAAAAGAGCTGCGTATATTTGACAAAAATGTCATATTTGATTAAAAAAATCTGACTTCTGAGTAAAAAGTCACACTTAAAAAAACAACACATTTTTTGGAAAAAAAAAAAATTTTTTTTGTTTTTTTGTAAGAATGAAAAAAACTAAAAACGGAATCCTGCCAATGATATGCACATTATATTTGAGAATATAAGCCATATTTTTGAGAAAAAAAAAACAACTACATTTCATGTCTAAATTGTGATGAAATGACAATGCAATGTTTTTTCCGTTTGCAGCCAAAGGTTACACGTCATCTTACATCAATCCCTCGCTAGCTTACAGCCTCACTTTCTACTGCTCTGGATTCACCTTTGCAGAATACGCGCTCGTCTACTGGCTGGCCCCCATCACGGGTAAACTGCATTCACGTACATACCGTCTGCGTGTGTGCGTGTATATTTTGCGGAGCGTCTGCCCATCTATCCAGCGTTACGTTCACACGAGTGAGTCTGTGTGCATTTCCAGGAATGATCTTGGCCCTCCTTTTGTACATGGGCCACATCCCAAGGATCTTTGCCAAGAACCTGCTCTATTTTCACAAGACGCGTTTCCGGGCGCCAAAAGGAGGAGAAAAAGAGAAGAAGAAGAAATGAACGCCATTCCGTTTTGTTTTCTTATCTTTCTTTTTTAACAACATTCAAATGCTACATGAAATCGAGAATAAACAAATGTTGCTCGTTTTCAATAAAGCTAATTTGAAAAAAATGATGGGTAGGGTGGGGAATCTTTGCTTTGGCCTGACCACACAAACAGAAAATAGCCAAGATTTTCAGGAAGGAAAAAAAAAAAACCCTCTCTCACTCTTTCTCTCCCCGAGGGGAACGTCATTCATTTTGGAAAACAATTTTTTAAAAAATTGATTTTTTTTTTGCACGTTCCCCCAAGGATGATGAGGAGTATTAAAAAAAACAGCGATGATAACCTGTTCAAGTTACCATAAAGCGGATTTCAATAAATAAAATGACGTTGATTTTACAGTTGGAGTATAACAAAAGGGTTTGTAAACTTGCATTACACTCCATCATGGAGGTGTTTGCTCAACAGTGGCTGTACTTGTGCTGGGGTTGGAAGAATCGAACCGAGCAGGTTTGCTCTTTTTGGGCTGACTTTGAACAGGTGCATTTTGATCTGTGGATAGGAAGCAACAAAAATATAAGTGATAAATATATGTTTTTGTTATATCGAGGGAAAAATCCGTACCACTTTTGCTTAGATAGATTTTTTTTTTCTGAACGTAATGTTAATCATTCACATAAATGCAGGGATTCACGTTATATACAAAAAATGAGATATAACCTGGCTGTTTTTGTTGAGCCTGAGATTCCGGTCGGTCCTGCCATAAACAATAATCCGGATTGTTCAGTAGCGTCTTGCTCTGCTTACAGCTGAGACAGCGTAGAATTGTGATGCTCCTCTTCTTGCCCCTTTTCCCTGGCAGAGGCACAACCATAATAAAAGTTATCGTCAGTCAACAATGTCTAGTTTGATTCCTTGAGGTGGAGAGGGACTGGATAAGTGGGGCTTACGTTGTCTGGTAGTTGCCGTCAAACCTGGGACGAGTAGGGTGCAACACTTCTTGCATATTGTTCTTTTCACGGATGGATCTCTGCAGAAATTAAAATTGCAATGTGAGATTAAGTTGGAATATCATCCGAATAATTGTTTATTATAAGGTTTTTGAGGCAAAAAAGTAAGGTTTTCGTGAAGTCATGTTTTTATGTTAAAAAAAGACCTTTTAGTCGAAAAGATGGAATGAAAACATTTTGTGTTTCAGATGGAAAAAAATAATATTTTGAGAAGAAATGTTGCAATTTCAGGAACAAATACATGATTTGGTTAAAAAAAAAAAAAAAAAAAAAAGATCAGAAAAAGTTATTGCAATCATAAAAAGAAAAATACGTACATTTTGCGAGAAAAAAAATTGCAATATTTTCAAAATCCATAACTGAGAAAACATATTTTCAAGAAAAAAAGACACCTCTGAGGAAAAAAAGGTCGGATAATATTTTTTAAAAGCTAGAGGAAGTTGTCATCATTTGTAACTACGCCTTCAAAACAAAACGGTTTTCGGAGGCCGCTACCGCTAACTTACTGTCGCAGAACGAGACGTCTTGCTATAGTCCGCTGAGTAAAGCAGTAGAAACGAGACAGCTCCACGTTATTCGGATTTTGGTTCAAAACACAATGAGCAGCCTGTCAAAAAAGAGGAAAAAGTGACGGCACATCGATAGAGCGAAACCAACTAGCTTGTAATAAGCGGCCAGCTAATTGGAAACAAGACCGTTTCTATTCCGAATGTTTTTCACTGACCTGGTAGAGATAATTCAGTCTAAGGTACGCTTCTTTATCCTTAACGTGCCCAGACATGACTCAAAAATGCTGTGAAATAATCTAAAAATGGCTGGTTAATTCTGTTTTTCGTGTCCGTGGTCGAACGACGTTTTAATCCTTCTCTTTAGCGATTCAATACAGCATCCGCATATTTCTTGTCAAAATAAAAGCGAAAAGCTAACCGGCGGTCAAATTTCTCAAAAGTTAAAATGTTTATTAGGAAGTCGTATATAGTCTTCAGACTAAAGACGTATTGGAAAATGTATGTACATTTTCAGGAAAAAAAAATCTGTATACTTTACAGCGATAAAAAAGGCAAATGTTTTGGGGAGAATTAGTATTTCTTTCACTAAGTACATATATTTGAGAGCTAATAAATACATTTGAGAAAAAATATTTTTGGAAAAAATAACTGATCAAAAAGGCATTGTCAAAAAAGTATACATTCAGCTAAAAGATTTGCATGAAATGTGTACATTTTTGAAAATTTATTTTCGCAAAATCATTTTCTTAGAGAAAAAAAATTCAATTTCCAGAAAAAAAATGTATCATTGGCAAAATTTTACATTTTTGAGAAAGTGTTTTTTTTTTGTTTTTTTTTTTAGAAGTAAGTTTTCTGTTTTCATGTGCGCCGTTGTCGTTTCAATAACTTTTATATGCACGGATAGTATTTTTTTTCGATGGTCAGCTTTCAGCAGTGAGCCAGGATAAAATGATTTGAAACAATCAATCACATCTGGGCAAGTAATCATCACAATGATGGAACACTAATGACAGACAACAGCATACAAATTTTCCACTTTTATTATCAACAATAGAGAGGAAAATATAAACCATGTCCATGTAAAACCAACTTGCCTGTAAGGTGCACCTCTGCTATCAAGGGACTAACGTGGTACAGTAGCTCTGTCGTGTGTGTGTGTGTGTGTGTGTGTGTGTGTGTGTGTGTGTGTATGAAGTCAACAAAAAGACACCATTGTGCTCTTGAAATGTTTCCTATAAAAGCAGTCAAATGAAATTGTAGAACGAAAGACAGAGATTCAAGTATCAAAAGAACTAAAAAGACGCTGACAGAGCTGAGGAAGGTAAAATTACAAAAAAGTAGTAAAAATCACGGGGGAGACAAAAATCAACAATACATTAGGCAACACTTTTGCATTTGTTTAAGGCAGTCGATTAAAAAAAAAAAAAAAAAAAAACAAACAACAACAACAACAACACTAGAAAACTAGGACGAGGCATCATCTTCATTAAATACAAGCCCAGTCCTAACCAGAGTTTATCAGAGACTTCATATGGACAGCGGATGATGTGTGTGTGTGTATCTTTTCATGCTTGATGTTTTTTTGGTCTTCTTCACAGTGACTTTTTTTTTTAATGTTTATACTCTCAACATTTAGTCTGGCACAAATTCTGAATAGTTGGCACGTGGCGGCTATGTGTGCATGTGCGTGCGTGGGGGTCTCCTTAACGATTGCCTTTCATGGCTTCCTTGGCGGCCAGGATGAGCGGTGTGAGGCTGGACAGAGGCTTGGCCAGCTTCAGGAAAGGATGCTGTGTCCCCCCCAAAACAAACAAACAAACAAAAAAAAAGATTAATAAAGGTGCAAGAAGCGATTAACAGTGGCCAAGCAGCCTACTTTTCCATGTCCAATCCTTCGAATGAAGATCAAATTTAGCCATGCAGCCCACTTCAGTTATCGGGTCAAAAGAGCATTTAAAATATCGACGATCCAGGAATAATGGTTGCTTTAATTTACCTTTTGTAAAACGGGTGAATTCAAATGTTGTATTTTCTTTATCATGTCATTACATCATTGACTTATTGTCAGTAATAACATTTTTAAAAGTGGTATTCATAAAATAGACAAATGCAGATATACTTTGGTGTAGCTTTTTTTTAACATAATTGGTTAGTTATAATTAAACCAATAATAGCATTTACAAATCAGAAAGTATGATTATATCACAATTAAAATCAACTACTCCACATACTGTTGAGGACCCTGCTAAAAATATTAATTTTCACTCTACTGTAAATTGACTTTTCAGCCTGTTGGGGCCCTTTAAAAAGGCAACGGATTTTTCCCCCCAAATAATAGTAATAATAATAATAATAATAATAAACAACGGCAGGGCTAATTTTAACAGGGGATCGTTTCGTCACCTGCAGGAGCTCTTTGCCTCCGCCTCGCTTCTCCACGTCCATCTCCAAGCATCGGTTGAGGAAGTCTCGGAAGACCGGCGACAGCTTCTCGGGGTTCTGCAGCTCGGGTGTCCCATTGGTGGCGATTAGATACAAGGCCTGCGAAGACAAGTGGAGACATCCAATCGGGGAGGTGGCAGCGGAGTGATTCCAAGAGTGACGACAGCAAGACATTTTGTGCGCCAAATCAGGAACACGATTCAAGTTGTCACATTCTTGTCATATGCTTGTACTCACTCGGAGGGGATTCTCGTTCAGGTAGGGGGGCTCTCCCTCCACCATCTCGATGGCCATGATGCCCAGCGACCAGATGTCCACTTTGGGCCCGTAGGCTTTGCGGGTCACCACCTCGGGGGCCATCCAGTAGGGCGTGCCCACCATGGTGCTGCGCTTGCTCTGCTCCGGAGTGATCTGGGCGCAGAAGCCGAAGTCGGCTGCCGGGGGGAAATCACACATTTACTTCCTCAGATCAGACGACAGGATCCTGTAATGGACTATTTTAGCATTTAAAGATTTCCCTTTTTTGGTTGGTGGGAGGGCATGTTTTTTCCTCTTCTTTTTTGGGACGTTTAAAATCTAACTGAATATTTAACATTTGGAACTTTCTAGGCTTTACATCTTGTTCAAGCCATTCCCTATGGAAAGATTTCACCTGATGTGCAACAAATTGTGCGGTCGCTTGTCAAAAGATGATCAGTTGAAGTGGGTAAAAGTCAAAATATTAAAAATTGGAGGGAAAAAAAAAGCAAGAATGTGTCCATTTCATCGTATAGACCAGACACAGTCGCGTAAGTGTATAACCTCGATTTCACTTAATTGGTCCAAGAATGATTTATTTACGCCAACGAACGTTCATCTATCTACTCCGGCGACAAATCGTAACAGGAAGAACAATTAAATGCTCTCAATTTGAATATTTTCCGTCCAAAAGAACTTTGCCAGGATCCTTTCATTGCTTTGGCTCAATAACGGTCGGGGGGAAATCACTGCGGTCCACAACTCACTCAGCTTGACGGAGCCGTCCATGCCGAGCAGCACGTTGTCGCTCTTAATGTCTCTGTGGATGACCTGGTTGGCGTGCAGGAAGTCCAAGGCTTGTAAACACTGCGACGAGTAAGACGGGAGGTTATTATGACTCAATCATTTCCCCCCCCCCCCATTTATTAGAAACTTGCACACCTCTCTGCAGACGGCGGCGATCTGGGCTTCGTCCATGCACGTCTCCGTGACCACGTCGGTGAGTGACCCGCCCGCCAGGTACTCCATCACCACAAATAGCTCCTCCCCCATCAGGAAACTGAAACCCACACATACGCAGAGTGTCTCACGTGACGTGCTTTTTTTTTTTGACAAGTGGTATTATTACCCAGGTTCACCTGTCGAGGAAGTTAACAATGTTGGGGTTCTTGAGCTCCTTCATCACCAGGATCTCGTTGATGATCAGCTCCTTCTTGGGCTGCTTCTGGAGGTTGATCTGTTTAATGGCCACCTAACGCGCAGGCGACACGACACACACTTGAACGGTGCGCATCGACGGAATTTCAGTATGCTTGACAATCTTGGGGGGGGGGGACCACAACATATTCCAGGAACATCCTCCAATTTTTTTAAGATGCTGTGTATTGATATGTTCCATATGCACCTTTTATGCGTCAGTTTACCAAAAGTAATCCGACACTGTGGCGGAGTCCTTGGGGACGTATCAATAATTTTAAAGGTTTTGAATGGCAGTCAGTCAGGCGATGTTTTATTCGCTCTCCTTACCTCTTGCCCCGTGGCGACGTCGATGGCAGTGAAGACTGTTCCAGAAGCTCTGTAAGAGCAGACAAACAACGCATTAATGACGGCACATGTCCTCAGTAAGTATTCAATCTTAAAAATGTTCGCCAAAAGGGACGGTTCAGTATGCGTCCCGGTTCAAAGGTTGCAGCTCCGGTTCACATTTGGTGCAGTAAATGTGATCAGTCAATTCTCAAATGAAAGTCTGCCTCATTTTAGGAAAGTGAAACATCAGCAGTTAGGGAAGCGCAGCATCAGTTGTCTTGTCTTCTTCTTAGAAAGCGACGACAAGTCCAACAGTCAAAGAGTGTGAATGATGACGTCATCGGTTCTTCCTTTGGCTCCATCGGAGACACCCGATCGAGACGTGTTGCCGTTTCAAATAAGGTCACAAGTTTGAACACGCTGCCCAAAACACAGGCGGAGCTTCGACACATTTGTTGACGTATTAAAATGAGTCGCTATGGCATGAGGCAGTTTTACTTCCTGTGACTTCCAAAACGTGAGTTATGCAGCAACTTTGTTTAGATCACTGTTTGTGAGAATTGTGGTTTTGGGGAGATGGAACAGATTAATGGCATTTCATTTTATTTTAATGGGGAGGGGGGGGGACTGAATGAATTGAACGCATATTCAAAGTAGCACTATACATGTACTCTTGCCCCGCCCTTGTCCATATGCAATACAAAAATACACTCCTCACCCCTGTCCAATTTTCTCATATCTGGTGTATTTCTTCTTGGGGTCGCCAATGCTGACTATAGTTCCTGTGAAGGAGAGAGTAAAACAGGTACTTTAAAGTATCATGAAAAGATGCAACAATATCAAAATCTAACTGTACGGGGTAATATTGTGGCATTGTAATAAAAAAATAACAATAAAAAATAGGGGGGGAAGCCATGGTGAAGAAAATTAAGTGCCAGGAGATGAACTAAATGCTTATTTAAACAAAAATGTATTTTTGTCAACAACTGCAATGAATATTTCTCAAACTAAGCGCGCAAACACGTCGAACAATTATTTCAGAGCGCAAAGTATTACATCAACGGAAACTTTGAATTAGGGTTGAACGGAATGAGATTTACTCAGTTTGTCCATGATCTCCTCGTCGGACATTTTGCCCTTCTTCTTCTGTCTGTCGGCAGCCTTGGATGCGGCATCGCCGTCCGTGCTCAGGCTGGGCGCGGGGAGAGGCTCGATGACGGAGCGCGTGTACACCTGGCCGCACATAAAAAAAACAGCGTACAGGAAATCGTTTTACGGCCCGACATAACGAGGCGTCATGGTCGTCGCCTCACGCTCTTGGTGTGTTCCGGTCTGGGAGCCACGGCGGGAGGCGGGGCTTCATCGTCATCGTCGTCGTCGATGTCTTTGATCGTCGGAGATGTTGGCTCGGCGCCTTTTTTGACTGGCTGAATTACAGGAAATGAGAAGAGACCATGGTCATGAGAGTTAGGAAAAGAAACAAACTAACAAAAACTATCATTGTCAAAACACGTACCTCGGTGAAACTACATTTTCTCTTTTTACATTTTCAAGATAATGATTTTTCCCCGGCCCGTCAAAAATAAATAAATAAATATTCATTAAACCTGACAGCATTTACAAAACACAAACTGAAAAAAAAACATCACAAGTAATAAAAATCATAGCGTTGGAAGAGAGCCGTATGAATTTTGATGAGATGCTCTGGTAAATTTTTTTTTTTTTAAATCATGTTTATTATGAATGTACATAATCGCATTAGCATGAACATTTGTCTCTCAGAATTCAGTTCTAGAATTCACAAAATACTTACAGACTGCGGCCCTGGAGTGAATGCATCTTTTTCTGCGAAAGAACAAAATGAAAAGTGCTTCACAACTTCAAGTCATCTCATAGCAAGTTCAGCGTTTCCTGCGAAAGGACACCTCGCGCACCGACGACTTCAGTGTGGACTCACCAGAGGATGAGAAGCTGAGGTACTTCTGCCGTCCGTTGCCCGTGGAGTCGTAGAACTTGAGGACGTCGAGCACGGCCTGCGGGTTCTTCTTCTGCTCTGACTTGGTGATGTTTGACGTCTGCAGGAGTCGCGCCCACTGCTCCGGCATGCCCTGACGGGTGCGGCAAGATGGACGGTTGATGCAAAGCGCATGCACGGCGTTCCCCCACTGGGCTAAATATTTAAGATGTCATTTTTATGGTTCTAGTTGACATTGCTTAGATGAACTCATGGAGCCCCTAAAGTGACAGAGCTCCAGTGGAAACTAACAACCCCCGTCACAACGTGGCCGCCAGAAAAGATTCCTACTCACAGTGAACTCCCCTGTGACAGCATCAAAGCCAACATGAATGGTGTGTTCAAAATCCGAAGGCGGTGAAATTTCTGGTCTCTCTTTGTCTCGATCTTTCTTTCTTCCGCCTAAAAGTGGCAAACATTTTGAATAACCAACCCGATGATGTTTTTTTTTTTGGGACGCTTTAAAAGCTCGACTCCCGCTCACCTTTTTCTGCCCCGGAAAATATGGAGATGATCTTGCTGCGAGGCTTTCTCTCCTCAGGCACCGATGGCAGTGGCTTGGTGCTGTGGTTCGCCGAGAGCGAGTCTTTACTGGAGCTGGTGCTGAAGATAGTGCTGCTCATGCGGACCGGCGGGGCGGGGGGCTTGTCCTCGGGGTCGCCGTTGTCGCACATCGCTCACGCACGAGTTTGTTTATGTTGTTTTCACAGGAGATGATGAGGAAGGGGTGGGGGGGGGAGGCTAGGACGGACAGGGCGGCAAACGGAGAGGGAGGATCACATCAGCATGAAGCACACGTGTGCTCATGCATCACCTCAGGATGTGCAGGCAGGAGAGGAAGGAAGAACGATACCTAGGAAAAAAAACAAAACAATAAATGGTTACACATGGGATACTTGTAGCCAAAGAAATAACCTGGTCTTGTTGCAATAAACCAACATGATTTCATGACCTTGTAACCTGAAAAAGACACATTGTAGCATTAAAGCACATAGGGGTAACTAACATAGACTTGATCAAAGGTGGCAAGAGTAGTCACTCTCTGTGCTTAAGAAAAAAAACATAACTATGTATATACTCTTGCACATCAGGTTTTCATAATAATAATAATAATTATTATAATAACATATGTAATAGTAATATTTCTGAATTGGAGGCTATGTTGCGCATGGTTAAATAAATTGAAAATATATTTTACGTAGGCCTAATTCAAACTTTTTCTCTGTGTATGTTTTACCAAAAGTGAAAGTATTTAATTCAAAGGCCCGTTGTGAGAGCGTGCCCTTCGTGAATTACTTTACAGGGCGGCTAGCGGGATAACATTAGCATCCGCTACTTTATGGCCAACAAGTGGACGAACTCCAAGCTATCTTTAGCCTATTAGCTTGGCGCTAGTACGCCCCTTAGCTCGAAGCTAAACACCGACGTGGTTCACTGCCAATTGGGCGACGACGGCGCTAGCGCGAAGCTAGCATCAGCTTCGATAACACAATTTAGCCGACGCGCTGACGTTAGCATCTGAACTGATTGGCCACCGACCGCTATTTAGCATCCAGCTAATGCTAACTTCTCCATGACAACTTACTCATAATGAAATGGTGGGTTAAAAAGATGAATGTCGTTTTTTGGTAAGGGAAATTGAAATTGGTTAAAAGGCTGGCAGAGCATCCAGCGCAAACCCGCTTTCTCGTCACTTTCTCACCGGAGAGCCTCCACGGCAGTTAAAAACGTGAACAGAACTCCTCGACTCCCTGCGGTCATTCGTTCCTTCGGTGCCTTAAAAGATATTCGTTAGTCCAAGAAAAGTAAAGTACTTCATCTGAAACTCGGCCATAAATAAGATCAAGTTGAAAAAAGGTGACAACTATTTATAGTGCAACTTTTTCAGCCCCTTCTGTCTTTTTGGGGCCCTTCAATGATAATTCCGCTATGGCGAGAAGGGGGAAGCGGAACAACCCAGCGACTAGTGATTGGCCGTGGTGGGAAGTAACGAAGTATACTAAGACGAAACGGAATATACTTCGTTACTATCCTCAAGTTTTTAATGTGTCTATTTTACCAAAGTATTATTTTTTTTCAGACGACTTTTTACTTTTACTCCCAACATGAAAAAAAGAAATGCGTGCCAGCCTCCATTGGTCAAGTCAAGTCAGCTTTATTGTCAAATATGCTCTATGTCCAAAATGCATACCATAAGAACCACCACCATTTTTGTTGTTTATTTAACAGAACAATATTTTTATTGTGTAAAAAGCATCCTATCAGTTTCACTTTCACAAAAAAGTATTTAAAAATAAACAAACAAATAAACAAACAAACACAAAAAAAGCAGATCAACCTCAGCCCGAAAACTTATCGGAAACTGTTTGCGACCAGCAGTCTGCAATTGCAGTTTCCGATCAGAGCTGTTGCGATTTATCTTTTAAAAATTATTTTTCAGATTCAGTTTGTTTCATCTGCAAATCACCGACTGATGGCACTGGCAAAGAATGGGAATATAGAGCGCCAGAAGAAGCATTTTAAAATGGTACACGTGAGCTATGACAAGTAATGTTCATGCATTTTATATATATACATATATGTATGTATGTGTATATATATAAATAAAAACTACATGCAAACTTCACAGCTGGTGGTTGATCCATCCAACTATCCAGGATAAACCTGACTGTGACTCATTCAGTCTCTGCCACAACCTTAATGATGACACACTCTGTGACAGTAAGCTCAGTGGCCACTTCCCTCCGAGAACATCCTGTCAAAGCCTCGCAATGATGAGAACGAGGTACGGTCTTGATCTCATGATGTCAAAATGTAAACAGCAAGATGAAAAAAGCTGTTTAAAAATACTGTACATTTCTATCAAACTAGGAAACTTACTGGTCCATTCGTGGATATCCCCAGATTTTTTCGAATGGTGTATCCTTATAAATCGCGGCAACAAACCACTTCCTGGACCAGCGCTGATTCAGGAAGTCGTTCGACTATTGCTGCAATTTCTGAACATATATTAAGCGCGGAGGCTTCTGCACATTACTGGTTGTTTAGGAGCATTCACCAAGTTGACATCGATCTGTACTTGCAAGCAGCACAGCGTTTTAAACGATCCGCTGCTTCCACATGTATTTGGACAGCACCCAACAGCAGATCATGGTGACGGCCAGTGTCACGCCGCACACGGGCGTCACCAGAGAACCGTCGCCCACTGGGAAACGCAAGATCACGTCGCCAGGCCGCTGCAGGAAAACAGTAGTAATGTTAAAAAAAAAATTCTCCGAAAATATGTTTGTTTTTTTTCCCCAGGTAGTATTTCAATTGTATTGCCATGAAATCTGAAAGCGAATTACCTGCTTCTGTTGCACTTGAATCCACAGACACATGCTCGTATTGTCAGCGGTGCAGGGTGCTTCCGTTGCCGTGTGAGGCTCCAAATCAGCCAGCTGTGAACCTGCAAAAAAAAAAAAAAAAAAAAAAAAAAAAAAAAGAGCGTCAAATGATGAACATTTGCTGTTTGTCTCTTTCTGAACAAATACAACTACTTACATTTCTCTGTGCGCAAAAGCAGCTTTGGGGGTTCTATGGCGATAGATTCAAACGTTTCCCCGTCAAAGGAGGGCTGGTGATAGCGCCCGTGGATGGGGATGCTAATGTTGAGCACGCCGGGAGTTTGTTCACTGAAGGCAGGATAAACGTAGGCGACGAATCCAGAAGTCTTGTGTGCTGGCACCTCCAGGTCAATGGCCGAATCCACTAATATCTGACAAAGATAAATTCAAACAATGACTACCATAGAGTATTCGGGGTAGCCGTACAAGAAATAAAAAACACATTTAAATGTGCAGTATACACTATAGTCGGATTTTTGGAGAAAATGAAGATTGAATCTGAATTATAGAATACCGACTTGATAAAAAGAATGAATATTATGACTTTTCCCCACCATTTGAAAACATTCCTGTAAAATGACGACAGCATTCTCATAATATTGCTTTACTTTTGATTATTATTAATCGTAGATTTTTTTTGTACCTTACAACTTAAGTCTCAAAATTTCGATTTTGTTCTCATAAGATTACAATTTGGTGTTGGTAAGAGAAAAAGTGAGTGCTCTTTGTGCTTACCTGCCAATCAACTGCATCGCTGAGGAAAGCAAGCTGGTAGGGGTCCACATAGACCCCACTGGGCCATGTGTGAAGCAGCAAAAGTCGGACGTCCTTGAACGCGCTACCAAGCTGGAGCTCAACTGTTGTCTCTAACTCCCTAAAAGCAACATGACGTCATCATTTTTAATCATTCATATCAAGAAGCACTGAGGTGTTTGAGTCCTCATTGTGTTGTTAAAATTCTAGGCCGAAAAGGAAGATAGATATTCATACATATGAAAGCCCTTGTTCTTGATCACTATTGAAACCGCAGTTGACTGGAGCCCCTGCTTCAGCGCAGCGCAACTGTTCTCGCCTACAGAAAAATATTAAAGTTAGGTTATAAGACACAGCGGGTATACTTATGGGAATTTGATGAGGTTTACTACGAGGTCTGAAGATAGCAGGTATGACATCTTACCCTTCACAGTCAAATAAGGACATGCTAATAAAATCGTTATGAAAAATGGATAGAAGAGTGTAAAATGCATCAAATACTTATCGTAATTGTATGTTTAAGCAACAAATGCAAGAGAATGCTTCTTTAATTTGTTTGCGGAAGCGTGACTCGAAGGACCCATTTTAGCATTAGGGAACCGATAGTGCTGCCTAATTAAAAGTAGTTATAGTCCAACATTAAACGCAGAATATTGTGTTGAAAGAGTTATTTATGGATAAAATAATATTGACAAACGCGTTTCTCACAAAGTGTAATACATCAGGGTATTTTCCCATTAATGGTTATTTTTTCACATTAAAGTCAGGCATGATTTGGACAAAAGAGAGAAGGGTCCTAAGTGGCTGTTGCTAGGCTACTGGATTTGATGTACTTGGAGAAACATTGACTAAAAATGCTTTTCGAGGCGAAGCGTTGCGGAGTGTGCTTCAGCCCACCTTCCATAGTCTTGATTTATGAAAACACAGAGACCAACAAAGTGAGAAAACGAGTGATTCCTGTGCGAAACTTCTCGCAGTATTCCGGTACGTTCTACTATTTGTTACATCATATTTTCCCCTCGAAAAATTACTGTATATGAAAAACCACCAAACTTAATGCCACAAAAAGTAGAAAAAAAGTAAAGTCTGTCTCCAATTATTTAATTGGATCTTTTGCCTTTTCGTGGAAAAAAATTAAATTGATATAGTGAATTTTAACTTCATCCTGAAATTGCACAATAGTTTATGAAAAACACGTCAGAAAAGAGGAATACATTATTTTATCCATTGCAGATTATAACCTCGCCGCCGAAAGGCTGAAAAACCACCCCCGGCACAAGGACTACCTGCAGGGGGTCTCCCAGAGCCAGCTGGAGAGGCTGCACATCATTTTGCGTGACCACCTGCGGGGCATCAGTTTGGAGCGTAGCCTGGCGTCGTTGCAGGTAGACCCGGAAGAGGACCTCAACAAGCTCGACGACGACGTGCTTGCTCGCAAGAAGAGCCACATGGATGAGCTGTTCGAAAGGAACCGGACACACAGAGAGGACCCTGATTTTGTTTATGACTTGGAGGTGGATTTTGGCAAAGCGGCCGATGAAAAATGCAGCTGGGATGAAGAATCTGATGATGGATTTTAGTGTTTCCCCAATGCAATTTTTGATGAACTAAAATGCTGTAGAACAGAGCTTCTCAAGCCTTTTGGACGATGAGTATGGACCCCTTATATGGGAGATATTTTTCCAAGGATGAAAATTGCCAATTTGGAATTATGAGTGAGCTCCAGATATGCTGTCGCTGAAGTAAAAAAAAAAAAAAAGCAAAGCAAAAAAAACACGGTTATAAAATATATAAGACAGTTATATAAGATATAAAAAAGATGTACACAATGACAGACAGCAGATGAATAACAGAGGACATTTATTAGATATATAAAATATTGAATATACAAAATACATTGCTTTTGGCTCTTTATCTGTGGCTTACAATGACGTGCGTTCAGTCGACCATGAGAGAAGACACTTTCAGCGATTAAACGCTTCGTTAGTGGACAACCCCCCCCACAAAAAAATAGACAAACTGAACTGATATATCTTTTCCATATAATGTGAGGTTTGAAATGAGATTTAAAAATATTAACTTTGCCGTGTCAAACCTCGAAAAGGGGAACGCTCATCAAAAGTGCTTTTAATACCACCGACCACCAGAACCACGATACATTCAACAAGGTCGCGTTTTTATTCATTTCCGCAAAAAAGAAAATTAATACAAATCAAACGAGGAACATCACGTTTTATGGTTTTGGTTTGAGCAGATATCTGCTCTTGTTTAAATATCAGTGTTTGGAGGTAGTAGGTCAACGAAATATCTGACACTCTTTTCAGTTCACCGCCACAAATCGCAGTGAGGACATTAAAAAAAAAAGCTTAATTTCTCAGCAGGCTTTTTATAAAAATAACTCTCATAAATTGAACTTTCAAAACATCCTCGAGTATGTTACAAACAAAGTAGACTGCCCAAAAACTGGAGGAGCTGCAATTCTACAAGTGAGTGTCAAGATGTTCCACTTAATAACTGTGTTCCGGCATTGCATCACTCGTGATACACCACGTCGAAGTGCATTTGAAAGCCACTTGGTGCAATCGTCCTCAAACGGAGCTATTAGGCGTATAACGGTACGTGTCTTTGTGTTTGGATACGGAACATTCAAGTTCCTGCATGGACCGGATTTGGTCCAGGGGCGGAGGGAACGCGTGACTGCTTCCTGCTCTAGTCGACGATGTAAACAAATATAGTGCGGCCCAGTGTCTGGCTTGCGAGAGGTTTTGGATGTCAAGCTGCAGCATCATACAAATCTAAATACCATAAAATTAGATTTAAATTAAATAATTCTACAAGTGAGTGTCAAGATGTTCCACTTAATAACTGTGTTCCGGCATTGCATCACTCGTGATACACCACGTCGAAGTGCATTTGAAAGCCACTTGGTGCAATCGTCCTCAAACGGAGCTATTAGGCGTATAACGCTACGTGTCTTTGTGTTTGGATACAGAACATTCAAGTTCCTGCATGGACCGGATTTGGTCCAGGGGCGGAGGGAACGCGTGACTGCTTCCTGCTCTAGTCGACGATGTAAACAAATATAGTGCGGCCCAGCGTCTGGCTTGCGAGAGGTTTTGGGCAGTATGTCAAGCTGCGGCATCATACAAATCTAAATACCATAAAATTTGATTTAAATTGACTAAAAGAAAAGACAAATAATTGATTCTGCACTGTCCCCCCCAAAAAGAAGACAAATTAATGAGGTTGCGCTTTCTACAAAGAAGACAAACTTGATGTTGGATTTTCCCCAAAAGAATCCAAATTATTGATGCTAGGAAAAAAAAAAAAAATCAAAATGGTGTGGCTGCAAGCTGTTCTATATTTTTCAATGCTAATTTAAAACGTACTGATTTGGGATTGTTTCATTTCTTGGGAGGATTTACTGCGAACAGTTTGCAGTTTTTACGTTTGATTTTCAGCCATTAAAAATGTTCCCTGCTGACCCAAAAGAAAAGCACTTTCAGACGGTGTATTTTGTTCCCTTACCGTAATCAATGTGAACCGAAACGTGACCTTTAAGCCAAGGTCGTTGGCAAACCACGATTTTTGCTGTACCGTTACACCCGTAGTAGCGACACTCCCAAAATCCACATTGAGTCGTTAGAAGCAAGCTTGTACAAACAGGAGCGAAAATATAGATTTCTGGATATAATCCCACTATTTTACTACCGCAATATCATAAATGTATTTCTTCTTATTTCTTCTTCTTGTCTTGAGTGCATCGCGGACAAAACCTGAAGGGCGAGACAAGAAGCTTGAGTATCAAAACGAACGAGGGCAAGACGATTTACCGCTTCCTCACCATTTTCCTTTGGGCTTGGTGGCGAGGTCGACGCAGGCGAAGTGAAACCACTCGATGGGACACTGGCAACGAAAAATTCGACATGCGACAAAGGAACGCGTGACTGCTTCCTGCTCTAGTCGACGATGTAAACAAATATAGTGCGGCCCAGTGTCTGGCTTGCGAGAGGTTTTGGATGTCAAGCTGCAGCATCATACAAATCTAAATACCATAAAATTAGATTTAAATTGACTAAAAGAGAAGACTAATTGATTCTGCACTGTCCCCCCCCCCAAAAATAAGACAAATTAATGAGGTTGCGCTTTCGACAAAGAAGACAAAATTGAGGTTGGATTTTCCCCAAAAGAATGCAAATTATTGATGCTAGGAAAAAAAAATAAAATCAAAATGGTGTGGCTGCAAGCTGTTCTATATTTTTCAATGCTAATTTAAAACGTACTGATTTGGGATTGTTTCATTTCTTGGGAGGATTTACTGCGAACAGTTTGCAGTTTTTACGTTTGATTTTCAGCCATTAAAAATGTTCCCTGCTGACCCAAAAGAAAAGCACTTTCAGACGGTGTATTTTGTTCCCTTACCGTAATCAATGTGAACCGAAACGTGACCTTTAAGCCAAGGTCGTTGGCAAACCACGATTTTTGCTGTACCGTTACACCCGTAGTAGCGACACTCCCAAAATCCACATTGAGTCGTTAGAAGCAAGCTTGTACAAACAGGAGCGAAAATATAGATTTCTGGATATAATCCCACTATTTTACTACCGCAATATCATAAATGTATTTCTTCTTATTTCTTCTTCTTGTCTTGAGTGCATCGCGGACAAAACCTGAAGGGCGAGACAAGAAGCTTGAGTATCAAAACGAACGAGGGCAAGACGATTTACCGCTTCCTCACCATTTTCCTTTGGGCTTGGTGGCGAGGTCGACGCAGGCGAAGTGAAACCACTCGATGGGACACTGGCAACGAAAAATTCGACATGCGACAAAGAGTTTTAGGTCTTCCGTCGATTCTATGCGATAAACACGGCTCACAACGGGTGGGATTGGTCAGCATTTCGTCACACGAGAGCTTACGTCGGGGTTGTCGCAGCCGATCATCTCCCCGTACGACACCTGGTGGCAAAGACAGTAGGTGGGCTCGTTGGGGTCCACCGGCATGTCCAGCACGTCTGACGGCTGCATGGGCAGCAGGGCGTCGCTCAAGTCTGGGCTGCGAGTCGGACGTTTTGTGTGATCAGAAGAAAAAAATTCACAGGTGACAACAAGCACCATTCAGAGGAGATTCTCTGCGTTTGCCATCGTCCGCATGGACTGTTACGTATTTGTAGCTAAACAATTAAAAATGATTGGTGATGGTTATATTAAAAGATAAGACAAACCTGTTTTTCATCTTTTTCTTTTTAGGAGAATCCTCATCCGAACCTTTCCTTCCTCGCCCCCGCGAGCCACGTTTCTCTCGGAGGCCGCGGGACTCTGCTTCTGTTGACCACACACACGCCCCCATAAATAAATAAAAAATTCCTAATAATGTGTGATTTTTTTTTTCTCTCCAAAACGGAGGCTCAGCAACAACTCTACTGACTTTTCAACGCTCGTCCATCTGTGCTTTCGTAGCCGCTCACTTCCAGTTTCTCCTTCAGCTCGTTCTCGAAGCGCGCCAGGTCGGCGTCCAGCCGCCGGATGTGTTTGTCCACCTGTGTCAACAAAGCGCACGCAAGGTTTTCCGCCTGCGCGCTTGGTTCACAGCTCGACTTAAATGATTCAATCACAATAAGAGTGAAATGATAAAAATAATACAAAATGAAACATGCATACAAACAAGTTAAAAACATATCTAATTCCATCCAAAATTCAGTGCCTGCTTTGGCCTGGACTGTTCACACATGGAGAGTCCACTGTAATTATTCAAAAAAAAAAAAAAGGAAAAAAGTCTTATTAAAATAAATCTGAAGTGTTTGGGACCAACCATCTCGTAGGTCTGCATGGCCAGCTGCACTTTGTCGTCGCTGAACTCTTTGCACTTGCTGTAGGCGCTTTGGATTTTCTGCAGATGCTCCACTCGCTGCTCTGACGCCAAGTTTTTCACCTTGGCTATGTACTCCTCGGCCAACTTGTTGATCTCGACCTTCTTTTCTGGGAGGAGATCATATTTGGATATTTTTGCATCATTTCAACACAATTTTAGCCTTGCCTGCATTCAATTTCGTGTAGACCTGGGGTGTATCACTTGGAATCTTAACAATAGGCCAACAATCATGATTCATGAAACAATGATACTCCAACATGTGGATGGCATTTTTGGCAAGCTTTGGCAGGCCTTGAAAACAGACATGAAGGTCAAAAACTGATAAACGTGATTTAAATGATCACCTTCAGTCCTGTTGTCCAGGTCTCGCATCAGCGTAAAGTTCCTCTGCAGCTCACATGGCAGGTTTTCGATACCTAAACGCAGATGACATTTTAACATATAGTTACATCAGTTGCTTCTTTCTTGATATGAGCACATCTTATAACACATGTCATTTATAAATAGGTCAGTCACTCTTTATTTATTTATTTTTTTTTGCACTAAGAGTCACTCCGACTACCAGAGAGAAATTCCTTGTGTGTACTTTTGCCAATTAAGAGGATACTGATTATTAGTTTGCTTCTTGTTTTACATAAACAAATCCTAGACGACATAACTTACTTCCCAGAAGTTTTGGTTTACACTGCTGCAATGCATAATAATATTGACAGCTATTTCCAATATTTCTCAGTATTTAGCCACATGGTATTAGATTGTAAATACATACACATAGCATGGATCTAGAATTGATCGATCTGGCCGGCGCGTAAATGGTTACTGAAAAAAAGGCGGCTGGCAGAACCAACAGGTTGCAAGAGCATGTTGTGCATTAAACGTGACTCGGCGAACATAACACTCAGAACGAGCGACGTGTCTAAAACAGGCACTTAAAACACGCCACTGACCATTTGACGACGCCGTAGTTAACTTAATTCACATGTTATTAACTTAGAGAGGCGGTAGGCGAGGTTGCTAAATGCTAAACTAGCCCGCTCGCTGACAGCGCCTTGCTGTCACTTTACAGCCCGCCACGAGAACGAGTCCTCACATTAACTTTAAATAGGCGTAAAACGGTCAATGTATTCGTTTCATTGTGCGTAACGGATACTCACTGTCTAGATAATGTTCCAAATATATTGCCGTCGCCATTTCGGATTAGTTGCGTGAAGCTTGCTACATGTGACGTCACGTCGTTAGTTCTGCCAAATTGTGGGTAAGCAGTAGCCGAGTGGGGTTTGTTTTGGAACACGAGAGCGACCGCCGGAGAGTGGCGAGCGGAAACATATGGTACAGTAGTCCAAGTACAACCGAATACGACTTTGCCCGCTCGTTCCTCACATGCGCAGTGGGAAGAAAGCGGTGACCATGATATCTAAATACAGTAATGCATTTTAAACCGATAAGTATTTACCACCGTATTTTAATAGACAAATTACTGGTCCAACCAGACGACTTCTTCCACGTGACTACTTTAGAAAACAAATTGCTTAAAACGAGGACCTCTTTTTTGCTAGCACTTTCCAAAGCTGTCAGCTGATGGCTTACGTCACTGAAAAAAATAAATATAATTTTGACTCGGAAAAACACAACATCCGAGGTCATCCTTCAAGCGACATTAAAAGCCTCGCTTGAAGGTTGAACGCACACTTTTTTTAAAACAACGTGGCTCACGTTTTTCATCAGGGGGAGGGTGTCTTTTATTATTAGTAGTAATATTTTAGAAACCATCTCACTTCCGCTTTTAGGTTTGAAGTTGAAGCCTCCATAACATTTCCACCACGACAACAAGCCAGGCAAGTACGACTTTTTTTCCTGAAATACCGACACGTTTTGAATACTACGGACACATTTCGATGGTTTAAACGCTAAAATGCGATTGGGGTCAATTGAACGGCGCTCAGACAAGGCGGCATTACAATACATCACAGCTATGCTTTCACAACCGTTGCAGCTGTAGCAAAGCGCTTTACGGAACATTTAACATTCAACAACAAATATCAAACAGAACGCATAACATAAAACATGGACCAAAATACGCCTTGTTTTTTGAATATAGTCGAAGATGTCTTTTTAAACAGCGTAATGTGGAGGGAAGGGGGCAGTTTTTAACTCACTCAAATCGTGATGGTAACATTTCATATTCGTGTTTGTGCACGTGAGTTTATAAAAATTAGCAAAACAAATCCGAATCGGGGCATCCTGTGGAAAAGCTGCAGTGGTCACAAGGTTTGTTTGGACACACCACACCCACTATCACGTCCACATTGACTGACTGTTTCACAACCTTGAAAAACACAAACAGTATTTTAAAATAGAAAAAGAATCATGGCAGGCTATCAAACAAAAAGACCACAAAAAAAGTGGATACGGTACTATACACAGTTTAATTGCCATCTACTGGAAGAGTTAGCTACGACTCTGCGTGTCACAGGCATAGATAGATGTTATTTGTAGGAAATAAAAGTTTTTTGTCCAGATTAAGTGAAATTGGACATTTTTTATGGTCTGACTAAATTTGTTTGTGTTTTTAGGTGACTCCAACATGGCTATGGTGAAGAGTGGCTGGCTCCATAGGCAAAGTAAGGAATGTTATATGCACAGCTGTCATTGTATCACACTTACACAACTACTGATCACTTTATTTAGTTTTGCCGACACTGTGGATCATTTGCACAGATGTCATTGTTGTTTTGATATCGCCAAATGTTGGTTTTGTTACAGTTGCTTGTTGCCAAAATACTGTACTAGTTTGATACGGTTGATAGTCGTAGAAAGGGTTCTGTCAGTCGTCATCTGTACCTGTGGGTAAAAAACAAAAAACAAAAAAAAAACAAAAAAGGACGTTTCGCTTCTCTCACAGAAGCTTCGTCAGCGGTAGACAACCCTGAAGTCTCCGTGAAGACTCCGGGAAGTTGCTCTGCGCTAAAAGGCTGAGCGTGGCCTGTTTGAGGACTGGGTGGGGATGGTTAGTCACGCCCCTATGGTGAAGAGGCCCATTGGTTTCTAAACTCCCTATCATTGGGTCTTGATTAGGCCTATTGTTTGGGCTAAGGCTGAATAGCTACTTTCAGTTAGCCTGATCAGCATGTCTATGTCCCTTACTGGTCAACAAGTTATTGTAAATAGGAGACAGGTTAAATCTGATACCTCCTTCACGGTTCAGAGAGGGTGAAAATTTTTTAACAAAAATCGCTTCCTTTAAAAAAGTTAGGAAAATTAAAACAAACAGAGAGGAAACCAACCAACAGAGAGAAAAGAAGAGAAGGGGTGTCTGTGTACCTTATATTGCCGGCCTCTCAGAGAAAATACAAAGAATATTTCTACAACATGATATTCCTGTTTATTTTAAACCGATAAACACATTGAGACAAAAACTAGTACACCCCAAAGACCGGGTTCCTAACACCCAAAAATGCAATCTGATTTATTCCATCCGTTGCCAAGAAAGTGAGTGCAAGGAACATTACATCGGAGAAACCAAACAAACACTCAAGAAAAGACTTTATCAACACAAATGGAAAAACAATGATAACAAAAGTGCAGTACACGCACACTTAAAAGAAACAAACCACACAATTGAAGATGAACAAGTAAAAATCATAGGAACAGAAAAGAGATGGTTTGAAAGGGGAGTAAAGGAAGCGATTTTTGTTAAAAAATTTTCACCCTCTCTGAACCGTGAAGGAGATATCAGATTTAACCTGTCTCCTATTTACAATAACTTGTTGACCACCAAGGGACATAGACATGCTGATCAGGCCAAATGAAAGTAGCTATTCAGCCCTAGCCCAAACAATAGGCCTAATCAAGACCCAACGATAGGGAATTTAGAAATCAATGGGCCTCTTCACCATAGGGGCGTGACTAACCATCCCCACCCAGTCCTCAAACAGGCCACGCTCAGCCTTTTAGCGCAGAGCAACTTCCCGGAGACTGCACGGAGACTTCAGGGTTGTCTACCGCTGACGAAGCTTCTGTGAGAGAAGCGAAACGTCCTTTTTTGTTTTGTTTTTTTTTTTTTTGTTTTTTGTTTTTTACCCACAAGTACAGATGACGACTCACAGAACCCTTTCTACGATAAGCTTTCCCTGAAAATTAAGGACAATTAACAACATCATTCTATAACTTCTTTTTTTATGGATTTTTATTAACTTTAAGGACCCGTGGGAATAAGCATTCAGTGAGTGGACACGCTCAGAGCATTGGTACTATGGTAAGCTCACTAAACACCACATTGTCTCCAGGAGTGCAGACCCATGCTCCTTTTATGTCAAACATTCATGAGATCTGAGCACAGCTCTGCTGTCTGACCCAAAATAGAGGAGATTCTGGGCCCATTTTGTCCTCCTTTGACGTGTGTGTGTGTGTGTGTGTGTGTGTGTGTGTGTGTGTGTGTGTGTGTGTGTGTGTGTGTGTGTGTGTGTGTGTGTCTCCATAGGCAAAGTAAGGAATGTTATATGCACAGCTGTCATTGTATCACACTTCCACAACTACTGATCACTTTATTTAGTTTTGCCGACACTGTGGATCATTTGCACAGATGTCATTGTTGTTTTGATATCGCCAAATGTTGGTTTTGTTACAGTTGCTTGTTGCCAAAATACTGTACTAGTTTGATACGGTTGATAGTAAAATACTCTAAAACAGGTTGGAAACTTGGTTAGGGCTAAATGGAACAGTCCGAAATAGTTCAAGTTCGACTTGGAGGAAAGGAGTTATTTTGTGACCATTGTAAGTTTTGAATCTTATCGAATGCCCATGACATGACATGTGGGGTCCCTCAAAGGTCAGTCCTCAGACCCCTTTTGTTCAACTTAGGAGTACAACGTACAGCTATGTTTTGAAATGTAGGGAGTGAAAGTTACAAAAAAAGTCATCAGAAAATTACATCCTCAAGGAAAGCACAGCTACCTGAAAAATCTACTGAAGTACTGCAACAAAGTATCTGTACTTCCTCGACAGGTACCATACTACGGCGCTGGAAGAGGAACTGGTTCGACCTGTGGTCCGACGGACGGCTGGTCTTCTACACTGACCAGCAGCGGCGGGACATGGAGGACGACATCCACATGAGGATGGACTGCATCAACATCCGCAGTTCCGCCGCCTGTCAAGGTGTCCTTTTATTGAATTCGGGCTATGTGACGGCGATGACGTATTTGGTTCGTGACATCTCTTTCTGTGTCGGGGGCGCAGAGTTGAACCCTCCGGACGGGAAGACGCGCGACGCTTTGCTGCAGATCGTGTGCAGGGATGGAAGGGTTATCAGCCTCTGTGCAGACAGTGCAGATGATGCCTTGTAAGGGCTCTTTTTTTTTTTTTTTTTAAACTTGTTGAATCATTCTTATTTGATATGGTGTACTTTTTCGGGGTGTAACTGTCCGAAAACATCTTGTACTTTTAAGGTGATTGTTCTGTTCACTTTGGTAGGAAATGCAAAATGTTAAAGCATCTTTGTACTGTACTGAACTATCTGAATATGAACACTCCTCGTACTTTTTTTTGATAAGGAGATTGCGGTTTCAAAATGGCCTCTATTCTTCTTTACAGGGCGTGGACTATGGCACTGCAGGATGCCAGAATTAACACGGTGAGAGTCTGCTGTCGTTTAAAAAAAAAAAAAAAAAGACGACAGTGATCCCCTATTCATCATGGGATTTACATAATTCCAGCGTTTAAAAAAATATAGTTTTAACAGTAGGGTTAGAATTGTTTTAGATAAAAAAAAGAGGTCACAAAGTGTTGTGTAATCAAGCAAACTACAATTTTCTAACAAACTGAGGAATAGTTTCACCCAAAATTCTGCAAATGGGTGGATGCAACCTTAACCCTTTCAGGGACAGCGGTTACGACAGTGGACAGCTTATCAGGTTGTTAGGTTACAGGTTATCATTATTTGTGCATGAAAGGGTTAAAATTGACTTCCCAAACTTCCCCAAATGCCTTAGAAACATCTAAACATTTAAAAACCCTGCTCTGCTGACATCGCTGCTTTTATTTGACATCTTTAGATGGTCGCGGCTCCTCAGGTGGGCTTTTCGCCAGAGGTGATGGCCTCTGCTCCGCCGCCATACTCGGAATACGCCCCCCAGCCGCAGGTAAAGACACAATCTAAGTCATGAAATGATTGTTTTGTGTCAGGGCGTATGAGAACTCTCATGGTCATTTTTTTTTTTCCCCCTCATCAGTTTTACACTCCGGGCCAGTATGGCGATTATGTGGCAGCTTCTCCGCAAGCGACGCAGATTGTGTACGCTGCCGACGGGCAACCGTACGCCGTTGCCTATCCTTATCAGTACCAAGGTAAGAGCCATTTTACTAACAAACACGTGGGATGACTTGTGAGAAGTGAAGTGGAACCGCTAAAATCAATCAAAGTAAATATGTCGAAGCAGCATTCAGCTGTAATGCCGCACACAAATAGAATAAGTTGCCAAGGAAGCCATCTCAGCTCCAAGTACAAATACTTTTAAAACCTGGTTGATTTTTATCCCCCTGTTCATTGATGAAGGTCTTTGGGGCATTTTAAAAAATAAATTTGTTTCTTTTACTTGGTAGGTGGCTACGGCGCGCCCGGCGTCAATCACGTGGTGATCCAGGAGCGCCAGCGCGACAACGGCGGCGACGTGGCCATGGGCATGCTGGCGGGAGCGGCGACGGGTTTGGCGCTGGGCTCGCTCTTCTCCGTCTTCTAAGTAGTTTGTGCAACGGTGTTGGTCTACCAGAGCAAAGATGTATTCCACCCCACGGCGATATGCTTTCCTCTCTGCATACGAAGCGTTCTTGACGGTCCTAAAATAGTCACTTAACCTGCGCACTTTCTCCAATGCATCGTGTGAGTGATGGCCTCGCTGTCCTTTAGGTGTGTGATGTTTGCCGTGAACCAACTTTAACCCCCCCCCCCCCAAAAAAAAATAGAATCCAGTGGAACCTCCAAGATGCTTCATGATTACAGTGCTTCCAGAAAGTAGTCACAGCGCTTCACTTTTTCCACATTTACTTATGTACAGTGAACCTCCACATATTTGGAGTTTGACCCTTGTGAAATTGCTTTTTTTCCCCCCCCCAGAACCTATTCTGTATTTGCTGAGAATTTCAACTATTCACTCATTGTGAAGGAAGTACAGTGGCATCTACGCATTCACCAATTTGCAGATTTTCTGTCAGGAATCCCTTCAAGAGACTTTTTAACATTATTAATGGAGAATTTCTCATATTGTACTGGTCATCATCACACTTTTTTTGGGGGGGGCCATCACTGGTCACCTAATGTGGTGGCATCGCACACACACAAAAAATAATTTTCAGGTTGAACTATGAATTGCACCACTTTTAAGGCGTTACACTTTGGAGGTTCCATTGTTTGTTTGTTTGTTTGTTTATTGTTTATTGAACATATATAAAACATACAATAACATGACAAAATGCAAACAAAAATTATGAAAGTAAAATAAAAGTAAAAGTAAGTAATACAAACATCATCACAGTTATATGTTCAAAGGAGTAGGAAGAAGTATACAACTACAGGTTCCATTGTAAAACAAACATACAAAAAAAAGACTGTTTTAATATGCACACACTGTACATTTTTTTTTTATCTTGAAAGCCATATCATTTTTTTGTGTTCATCTTGTTTTGTTAACTATATTGATCATGTTATCCATTGGATTTATTTTTTTTTTTAATGTTCTGTGGTTGTAGAACATGGGACAGTTTGAGATGATGGACATATGACAAAGTTTGCTCTCCTTGTGAATTACGTAGCTCAATCGCACAGATGTCATTGTTGTTTTGATATCGCCAAATGTTGGTTTTGTTACAGTTGCTTGTTGCCAAAATACTGTACTAGTTTGATACGGTTGATAGTAAAATACTCTAAAACAGGTTGGAAACTTGGTTAGGGCTAAATGGAACAGTCCGAAATAGTTCAAGTTCGACTTGGAGGAAAGGAGTTATTTTGTGACCATTGTAAGTTTTGAATCTTATCGAATGCCCATGACATGACATGTGGGGTCCCTCAAAGGTCAGTTCTCAGACCCCTTTTGTTCAACTTAGGAGTACAACGTACAGCTATGTTTTGAAATGTAGGGAGTGAAAGTTACAAAAAAGTCATCAGAAAAATACATCCTCAAGGAAAGCACAGCTACCTGAAAAATCTACTGAAGTACTGCAACAAAGTATCTGTACTTCCTCGACAGGTACCATACTACGGCGCTGGAAGAGGAACTGGTTCGACCTGTGGTCCGACGGACGGCTGGTCTTCTACAATGACCAGCAGCGGCGGGACATGGAGGACGACATCCACATGAGGATGGACTGCATCAACATCCGCAGTTCCGCCGCCTGTCAAGGTGTCCTTTTATTGAATTCGGGCTATGTGACGGCGATGACGTATTTGGTTCGTGACATCTCTTTCTGTGTCGGGGGCGCAGAGTTGAACCCTCCGGACGGGAAGACGCGCGACGCTTTGCTGCAGATCGTGTGCAGGGATGGAAGGGTTATCAGCCTCTGTGCAGACAGTGCAGATGATGCCTTGTAAGGGCTCTTTTTTTTTTTTTTTTTAAACTTGTTGAATCATTCTTATTTGATATGGTGTACTTTTTCGGGGTGTAACTGTCCGAAAACATCTTGTACTTTTAAGGTGATTGTTCTGTTCACTTTGGTAGGAAATGCAAAATGTTAAAGCATCTTTGTACTGTACTGAACTATCTGAATATGAACACTCCTCGTACTTTTTTTTGATAAGGAGATTGCGGTTTCAAAATGGCCTCTATTCTTCTTTACAGGGCGTGGACTATGGCACTGCAGGATGCCAGAATTAACACGGTGAGAGTCTGCTGTCGTTTAAAAAAAAAAAAAAAAAAAGAAAATGCAGATGCATCGCCAGGCTACTCTTAATCTATGACTGCTGTAAACATGCAGGGTGCATGGTTGCCCTGTGCAGGCGGCTGACCGAAACGAGCCCAGTTTGAGATGATGGACATATGACAAAGTTTGCTCTCCTTGTGAATTACGTAGCTCAATCTTTTAGGTACACCAGCTACACTCCCGTTTTTAGCTTTCGTCCAAAGAAAGATGCTTTGTGACGTCTTATCTCAGTGACTTCCCAATTTCCTCACTTATTCTCAGTTGTCTCTTGACTTTTCACTGGCTGAGGCATCTCGTGAAAAGTGACGTCAAATGTGACGTTTTGTTTCTTACTGGCAGCTCCTGTCTAGTATGTTTCATTTCAACAAGTGTTTTGAGCCAATTCTGTTTGTTTGTCCAGAGATCCGGTTGGGTTTCTGTTCACTTTTGTTATGCGGTATTACAAAGCACATCATTTCAAATCGGTCCGAGATTGACTCTTGATCCGTTCTCAGTCGAAATAATCTATTGTGAATTAATAGCACTAAACGAAGGATGTTAATATTTACAAATGCAGCTCAAGCTAAATGTACTCACATTCGAATATCCCTGCTCAATGTATGACAGTTCATCACAAAGAGATGTATTTTAACAATTAAATATATTCACAAGATGACGAATGACTGCGTTTATTTTCAGGGTTTTGTTCAAGAACACATGGTAGGATACAACAGAGTCAAAAAGCATTAATCTGTCATGCGTTCTCATTCAATTCAAAGCATATTGTGCCGCTCCTTCTGGCGTGCACAACTTAGCCACCTGGGGACAGCACATGGGCCAATTCATACTTAGGTCACACCTATTTTCCCGCCTGGATGCAGCAGTTAATCGTATTGCAAGGGGGCGTGTCCTGTCTAGGAATCAAATGAGATTCAAATAGTTGTTCCTTGCAGAGGATAAAGAATACAGTATATAACTGACTATTTACATGGTCTGACTACATGTGTTGCTGCAATGTTTGTGTTGAAATATTAGTTGCATAAAGTGTTATAACAGCCATATATTGCTTATGTTTGCATTAGCCTTAAGCTAGTGGACTAAAGGCTAAATTATGTGGTTGTTTTCAATGCAAAATGTGTAATTCTCAATTTTATGTTTACAGTACTTTGAATGTCTGACAAAAGAAAAATCGTCCTAATGACAGTTTCCATCTCGAAAATATCGTCAGTTGTGTGACTCATACCTCAGGGCACCAGTGTATATTGTTATCAAGGTGTGATTTTAGTGCAAGCAGACACGGAGACAGGAACAGCGATTGTCATCTGCCGTCACGTTCAAGACTTTGGGACGCAGAACCCTCAAGATGGGTTGGCTTTTGGCAAGGTCGGCTGGGAGTTGGTCGTTCTGGAAACACACAGGGGCGAAGAAGAAAAGGAAGTGAAGTCGACGTCGCTTCCGGTCTTTGGCACTTTTCAGCTTTCAACCTGGTTGAGGAGCGTGGGGTCGGCGTTCGCGCCAAGGAGAAGCTGAACGCTCTGGACGCTTCCGCCCTCGACGGCAGCGTGGAGGGCCGTGGAGCCATTCTGTAGACGAACACGAGTCAAAACACATTTGGACAGTAGTGTATTTTTATCATGGGAGGAGCGTACCGAATCATGATCAGGAGTACTCACCTACATGTACTTTTCATTCCATTCAATTGTATTAATTTATTCTCAACAGTGAACCCCCCCCCCCTCCCCGCTATTCGGAATATTGCAACCGAGCCCTTGAGCAAATTACAAATACCCATGAGTAATTGACAACCTCTCTAAAAGGATGCTGACCAAAGTCCACATGATCTAAATGAAACTCCTCAACTTGACTTCAACATAGTTCCTTGCAAGTAAGATGCCACCAAGGCAATATCTCCGCGCCGCTTGCAGTATGTGATTGAATTTCCACCCTTCAATGAAGTCAACCTTTGTCTCTAACCATATTTGGCGGGTACAAACTAAAGTTGTTCATCTGTAGTAATCTGCACACATTATTGCACATAATACTCAGCATTTCCAGTGAGTTAAAATGTTATTTCTCATCAGCTAAATATCGCTTCTGAGCTGTTTCAGATGCTGTATGTGGCACAGTTCTATTCTATCGCGTTTTGGTGTAGTATAGGTTTTCTATCATTGTGACATGCTAGTGATGCTATTAAGAAGTTCTTACGTGTGCACTGAAGGACTGCCACTGATATGTACATGGATAGATTTTAATGGTTGGCACACGTTGGTCTACCTTGAGGAGGCCAAGCGAAGGAGAAAACTTGAGGAGCTCTTCGATGACACTACTGTGTCCCTTCATAGCCGCTTTAAATAACGCCGTGGAGCCATCCTCGTGACACAGAAAGCAAATGAACGTCAAAAGAATGCCAAAATAGACGATATTATGTGTGACTGACCCTCCAATGTGAAAAAATATCGGAAGTCACGCAGCGGCAAAAACCACCAATTTTGTGAAAATGATTGATTCTCAGAATTGGAACTCAAACACTAGGAAAATAAGTAAAAATAACTTCTCCATTGGAATGAATGTGAATTTGATCACTTAATCTTGGAAGGAAAAAAAACCATGCTTTTATTAGGAGTGTGCAGGGGAATCTCCATAAAAAAAGTCACCAAATCAGCAAAACTAATTAAAAAAACACCCCCGGATTACATTTAAATCTTCATCATTACGCGCATGAACCAGTCAGAGGTCAGAATTTTCTTGGCATTAGTCTAATGCTGAAAGGTTGCTTCTGTTTGGTCGGAATTGCGTCGCGCATGCCTGGTTTGAAGGTCATGTGACACTTCCCGGGACAAAATGTGTTCTGAAATAATAACAATTATGTAATATGAAAATACAGTATAATATAATCCATACACAAATAATAAATCAATAAATCGGAATAATCACTTATCGTAATAATTGAAAATTCCGTTATTATTCATGTATAGCTGTCATTCCACTCAACTAATGATCGCTCAAATACTTCCATAAAATTCTTGCCGCTGTTTACATTCAATGTTATATCTATTGGTGATTTTTTTCAGTTTAAAAAAATATCTATAAATCTAAATCTACTTCTCTGTAGGCGTCTCGGTCTGCACCGCGCAAGAGGAGCACTCGGACCGCGTCACTGTGCCCCATCTGAGCTGCCATCCACAGGGGGGCGGTGCCATCCTGCGAGGCAGATGTGTTCGAGATTTTTGAACGAAGTACAAGAGTAAAAGTAGACAGGGAAGGGTGTCAATACCTCTCTTGGTTCATTGACTTTGGCACCCGACGCAAGCAGGTGACGTATGACCGGCACGTGACCGCCCTGAGCGGCGAGGAATAGGGGCGTGGCCCCGTCCTACAGCAGACAAACAATGAAGGAAATTAAAAGAATAGCAGGCAAGTCCTAAAAAGGCAAACAAGGTGGAACGAAGCAACGGATATATTGTATGTACACATATTGACAGATCACTACGGTAACACAGGCATAGATTCTTTATCCTGTGTGGAAATGATGACTATTACTGCATCTTACTGAGTCACTTAGATGTGAAAGTCTTCTTTGTGTATTATTTGCGTCTGTATTATGTTTCCCCTTGGTTTTATTGTCGCCCATGGCTCTTGCATAAACTCCCAGAGAGGCAAGATTACAGAAGTGTGATGGGAGCTACTCACGTTCAGCTGCTCGTTGACATTGGCGCCGTTTTTCAGTAGCGTCTCCGCCACGCTGGCGTGTCCGTGCTGGGAGGCAGCGGTGAGAGCAGTGCCTCCATCCTGCCAAGATACAAAATGTCACACATAATAAAAAAATATATATGGCGAGGGACAGTGCAATTGTGGCATTTCCACCAATTATTGACAGAATTACACCTTAGTGTGGAATTCCGTGGAGGCGCCAAATTCAAACAGGAGCTTGACGATGTCATTGTGGCCTTGCTGGGAAGCGAAGAAGAGAGCAGTAGAACCTGTCTGCGGGGAACCATAAAAAAAACAACAACCGTTAAAAAGACATGCAAAAGGAGGCCCACGACTGGAAAAGTGACTTTTATGCTTGCAGACAAATAGTTGGGTACATGTTGCACCTTCACATCAAGTGTGAATTTACACAACCATGTTGGTAAATTATTTTGTGAGCTACCGATATGCTAAACTGCGACATAACAGTGGGATGAATATCCAATCAGTAGTTATGGCCCACACTGAGTCTCTCTTCCCATGAATCGGAAGGTAGCCTGGGACAAGATCGGCTATTTTCAAGTCACAGACTACACAATGTGAAAGCACACTTATTGATCGGTTGCGGCTTGGCGATGAAGTGCCGCCTCCACGAGTGAAAATAAAATTTTCCGTTTTTTTTTTTCCCCGAAACACCCGGACACATTTCCACAAGTAGTGTCCGCTCTCCTCGTGATAACACCCTGGCCGCATCATCACTGTAACAAAAGCCAGAAGTAGAGGGGGCGGGGTGATCAGTGGGACATTTGCATGGATAGGACCGCCCCCCTCGAAACAAGATTATTTCAGCAAGATTTAATAAAAAAAGTGCAGCAAACAAATTTTTGATCCTTGGTATATTTTGATGAAAACATGTCACCTTTTTTTTTTTAAATCATGGGAAAATTGCATATTGTACGTTTTCTTTCACGGCATCAACTCAATTTACAACTGTGCAGGTGTACCTAATGTTATGACCCGTATGTGCTCCGATGATACCTCTCTCTGGTAGTTGATGTCGGCCCCTTGCACGATGAGCTCTTTGACGCACTCTCTGTGGCCTCCGTAGGACGCCACCATCAGCGCCGTTGTTCCACACTGAATGGAAAGCAGCGAAAAGATACGAATTCTAACAGTCTCATCAAAGTTTGCCTCGCTTCATCGGATTGAATTGCCGCCGCCGTCCCTAGAGAGCCACACATCACTGCTGCCAGTATCGGGAAGTGAAAATTCTTCTTTGGACAGGCATGGCAAATGACCATGATCGATAAACGCTTCACGTGACAGATTTGTTTCTCGATTGTCTACGTTGTAGCATCTGTCCCTACACTGAAAAACATATTGCGTTGAATTTACTCAATTGCATTTTGTCAAGTGG